CTTTCACTCGCTCTCTTTTTCTCTTTCTCTTTCTATTTCTTTCTCTCCTTCTCTCCCGCTCTCTTTCTTTCTCTCTTTCTTTCTCTCTCTCTATTTTTCTCTCTCCCTCTCTTGCGCTTTCTCTCTTTCTTTCCTTCTTTCTTCCTTTCTTTTTTCTTTCTTCCTTTCACTCTTTTTTTTCTCTTTCTCTCTCTCTCTTTCTTTTTCTACTTTTTTCTCTTTCACTCTCGCTTGCTCGCTCTCTTTCTCTCTCTTTCTTTCCTTCCCTCTCTCGTGCTCTCTCTTTCTTTTTCTATCTCTCTTTCCCTCTATCTCTCTTTCTCTTTCTTTCTCTCTACCTCCCTCGCGCTCTCTCCCTCTTTATTTTTTTCTCTCCCTTTCTCTCTCTCTCTCTTTCTTTCTTTTTTCTCTTTCTTTCTCTCTCTTTCTCTCTCTCTTTTTCTTCCTTTCCCTGATCCTACAGAATCTCTCCTGAGTTTCCTAACAATTCCGCAATTCCAATTGAAAAAGTTTTGAACTGAGAAACCTATTTTATTTTTTTATCGGTTTAAAAATCGCTCGTTAGTTTTATGACCGGAATAGCCATGCATGACACATGCCTGCACTCCTTCGTGGGCGCGTAGTATGCCAGGAATGGGTGTAACACTCACCCACCCCACCCTCGCCTGCACTGTGGCCTCTGGAAGAAAAGCCAAGCCTTGAGGATAATTTAATAAGAGATAGCCAGAGTTGGAAGGGACCTTGTAGGTCATCTAGTCCAACCCCCTGCCCAAGCAGGAGACCCTACACCATTTCTGACAGAGGGCAGTCCAGTCTCTTCTTGAAAGCCTCCAGGGATGAAGCTCCCACAATTTCTAAATAGCAGAATAATAAACAGAGTCGGAAGGGACCCTGGAGGTCATCCAGTCCAACCCCCCTGGGCTCCCAGGAGCTTCAGGTCAGCCCCTCCCCTATGGAGTCCATTAAGGGGGGGCGCACACACGCACACACACACACACACACCAACTCCCTCCCTCTGGATTAACTCCTTCCCCTGTTTCCATTTGCCAGAAGCTTCCTGGTTCTCACTTTATCCCCTAATATGGACTTCTTCGGTGCTGCAAATGCCCGAAAGATGCGCCGGTGGTCGCGCTCTATTTGGGGAAAGAGATGCCCGAGGCTGTCCATTCCTCACTCTCCCCACCCCCACTCCCCAATCTGATGGCCCACCCCCCAAATCCTCACCCTTTCCCACACGGAAGGGGTTGCATCGAAAGTCCTTAAGAGAGAGAGAGAGACAGCAATAAGGAGAAAAAAATAAATCAAAATTGCAATATTTTGGGGTGCCCCTTTCTACTGCAAGAAGGCTTGCAAATTTCCTGGGGGGGCCACTCACCTCTCTCCCCCCCCCCCATCCCATCTTCAGAGGAGGGGTCTCCTCCACCCCATCTTTTAAACTCTCTTCTCCCAGAAATGCAACAGGGGGAAGAAAAGTGAATTTCCTGCTTGGAGCCAGGCAGTGGAAAATAATGCACGCACGCACACAAAACCCGACAAACACACAGAGATTAAGTTATATTTTTATGCAAATAGGTGAATTTTCTGCTTCAGGCAGGAAGCCCCGAATATGACAGAGAGGTTCTTCAGGGCACAAAAATACACAAATGCTCACAAACCCAAAACACACACACGTACACTTATGCAAATATAAATGTTCTGTTTCAGACAGGAAGTCCCAAATATTCCAGAGATGTTCTTGACCGGCAGAAAAATACACAAATGCACACAAACTCACCACACACACACACACACACACACACACTTATGCAAATATACATTTTCTGTTTCAG